CCTGCTACATCATGCTGTATTAACTTTTGGAAGCATGGAAACCCCTTCAGCTTTTGCTTTGTTGAACTCCACAGAAAACCAAGCTTTAAATCAAAATGCTCTCTGAGTTTATATAGTTATAGTAATTTCACAGGTAAATTGGGGTTAAGGTAGCCACATCCACATTATTTTACATGCTACACAGAGGGACTTGAGAATATTTGACCTGACAAAAATAATGGCATCTTCATAATTTATGAAAAATAAGACTAAGAATTTAAGGGCTTAGAAAAGTTCTAAGTTCATCAGGAAATCTGTAGCAATAGCTTTACTGACTTGCATAGTTAAAATAAAACATATGTAACTTACACATTCCTTTGAAAAATTAAGAGTTAAAATGTTGGCTTTTTAGCTGGAGCTATGCACCAGGGGGTAAGTCAAGTTTAGAGAGTGACTAGGAGAAAAAGCACCCTTTTCAGAGTTATTAAATACAATGGATTCTACCTAGAATTTTTATTAATTTTTAAAGAAAGTTTCTGAAAATATTTTGTACTTGACTCAGATGATCTGGAAACTTCATCAGGGAACAGATCATCCGTGTAGCTGGCACAATGAATCAAAGTGGTTTTTGACAGCAGAACAAAGCAACATCATGAGAGGGGGTGAGCACACGTACACAAACACTCAAATATTGTCTTATATTTACACAACTACAGGACCACATATTTTAAAATTTGACTAAAATAGAGATTCTTAATATAAAATAATTTTACACTACTTTTTAAGGTTGTACCATTTTTTTCTGTCAAAAATCAATGAACTATGAAAGAATAATTTCGCCTGTTTTTTTTTTTTGTAAGAAGTTACAATGCATTTAAAAACTGTTCAGAAATATATCACAGAGACAAAATGGAGGGAATATTTATTATGTAAATGTGTCTGTGTGTCTGGAAAAACAGGAAGGATTCCTGAAGATCTGGTTTTGACAAACACTAGATCACTTCTGCAGAACATACACTCATCTTCTATTAATCAGAGCAGGGAAAGGCCAGCAAAACCACAGGCCAAAGAGCAGGCTGATGCCTGCAGACAGACACCCACACCAGCCTAATTGCAGGAGTCAGACTTTGGATGCAAGAGGCAATATAACCTGATTGCAAGCTTCAGCTGCTACCAGCATGACTTACCCGGAGAGCTGCTTTCGCCTTTTCCACCCCAGTGTATCCAATACGCTCTTACCCTCTTCCCGTTTGCAACACTGAATGCAGGACCTCCCTCCCAGTTAACAGTGCAACCCCTATTTCCAGTCCACGCTGGCAATCTAGCTTCTACTACATACCTAATGATCAGAATTTATCAGTTGTTTATGGCTTAGACATTCCCAAACAAACGCTTAAGTACTTCTGAGAAGAAACGTCTAGACAAAGCACAGAAATAAACTACAATCAACATTAGTATCTGTATCACTAACATAACAGTGTCAGTGTGGTAGCTTGGAGCACAAACATATGAGTCTCTGTAGACTTCTACTCAGATACAATTACTTATTTGAGGCATAGCAGCTACGTGGAGTCTTTAAACTGCTCGCACAAGTGATTGACAAGATAGCACCTTTTTGTTTTCTAGAAAACACACAACTTGCCTCAAAGACCTTCATGAAAATGAGGTAGAGTGAGCCATGAAATATTGGAATTACTCTGTTCATGTTTCCCAACATTAACAGTCAGAGAATGACAAAGCAAGCATGCAATACCTTTTATTTAGTGGAAAGAGAAATGAGAACAAGATTGGGTATGAAAAGCTGCCTGCCAAACAGAATCACCCTGCTGGTATTCCTCTGTTAGCGGGTAGTCCCATGCTAGCACCCTTCCCTATTTATGAAATGCAATGAATAAACGCTTCAGGATCATATTATATGCTACCCTGAACATGCTGAATTTCTACATATACTAAAGTCAAAGACCGTACAGAGACTACAACACACATGCGGCACGTTTGTTTCTAGAGTCAATACCTAACGAAGAGGTGGGTCCAGCATAACTTTCATCCACTTTCAATTTCACAGACCTTAGTTAAGCCAGAAATCTTTCAAGAAGTTTCAGTCCATTCTTCCAGATCTACACAAGACGTTTCACAAACTCTACAGCTGTAACTCACTAAGCCATCAGTGCTGCATGAGTACCAGAATACCACAAAAATCACTCACATTTTAAAGAAGCAAAAATTTTTTCTTTGAGTAGAAAACTCCAAGCTCTCATCAGCTAAACACTGCTCATTTTGATTTATCTCCAAGACTTTTTCCCTTCGCTTAGGTATGAAAATTACAAGTGCTGCCAAAGACGAATAAGTCAACTATCTCCCTGAAAAGAGCTCTAGAGTTATAATGAGTTTATATCAGCCGATACCTGTTGGGTAATACAGTACCACACATTTCTGAAAAGCACTCTAAATTTGTAACATAGCGATCTGCTTCAGTCACTGTATTAGGACCTTCTTGGATATATCCCAAGATATCCCAGTATGGCTGCACCCCTAACTTTTAGAGGAGAAATTAGGAATGTGTGGTATGTTCCCTTACATGTATGTTTGTTTTGCAAGATAAATAATCTAAATAATCCACACAATGGCTCAAAAAAGCTTTTGTTCTCTTTATTCCCCGACATAAACTCACAGACCAAAACGTCTAGCTCTGCATTTTGTGAGAGGCTGACTCTCTTGCAGATATTTTATAACAGATGCATTATAAGTATTCTCTTGAGATGGGACCTGCAAGAATTTTATCAGATTTTGAGAACTTCAGGCTGGAATAAGCTGTAGGGGCTCTTTTAGGCTTTGCTGCAAAGCACTGAGCACTCTTCACCACACTCAGTAACGGTCTATTATTTTTCTTCACATCAGTGCTATGGAGCCTAGTCAGGGAAACCATAAAAAATATCCTAAACATGAACAATCTGAAAAAAATACGAACACGTTGCAATATATTTCCTCTTTCAAAATCTGGCAGCTCCATTCCTTAAGTCCAAAACTAAAAGTGCAAAACTTGCAGCTGAAGAGTTACTCTTTAGGGATCCTAAACATATGGCCTCTAGGTGTCACACTCGACCATGTCATAACACGCTATTTATGGATTTCTCTTCTTCCATAGCAAGTAAGAGACCTTGCTTTTATCCTTTCAACAAGTGAACAC